CCTAAGGTGTCGGCTCCGGAGTTGGTCGCAAACTCTGAATCCGAGACTCCGCTTTGAGTATGGGATTAGGGTTTAGGGTTTAGGGTTTAGGGTTTAGGGTTTAGGGTTTAGGGTTTAGGGTCTCGGACATGAGTATGGGGTTCTTAGGCCTTAATGATTGTCTATAATATTCTGGGGGGTCTTTATTCTTATTATTATAGTATAGTATACTGTACCCCAAAACCCTATGTCTATAATATTCTGGGGCTCCTTATTCGGATTAATTATTATAGCATAATATACCCCAAAGGCCTATTCTGAATAATAAGGCCTCCACATGAATTCCTGTTTGCAGAACCCTGTCTTGCTATGACAGCTATGATTACCGAGCTGTTTTCATAACTTGTAATGGGGCAATAATAATCATGGGCTCCCCTGACTCAAAGGGTTCTAAAGCTTATCCTAAACTCGTTGCATGCCAAGGTTCGGGGTTTATATAGGGGCCATAATAATTAGAATAGGGCTTCGGGGCCCATTATACTATAGCTAGAATACGAAAACCCTCCAAAATAATATAGGTAATTATTAAGGCCCTTATATTAGGGGCCGACAGAGAACGTCGTCGGCACAAAGCTTCCGGAACCACCCGACCGTTGGATGAACGACAGCCCTGTCTGTAGCCCCTGGTGGGATAGCCGCTAATTCTAAACAGAGCCTCCAACCCCGCTCTTCCGCAGATTCCTAGCATAGGGTCGGTTTAGGGTTTAGGGTTTAGCATACCACCGAGCCTTGCGTTCAGGATTCGAGTAGACATCGTCGATGACGCCTCGGAAATCAAGACTGGTTGAGTCGGGACGTGGCTGGGATTTAGAGTTTACAGTTTAGGACCGACATTTCGGCAGTCCGCGTCGTGCACGACGAATGAGATTCGCAAACTCCGTTGTGAGATGATGGAGATAGTCCGGATGTGGGAGGATGCTATAACCAGCAAAGTCTGGGAAATACGCTTCTGACTGTTCGATTTCGCAGCTAAGCAACACAACGAATCCACTGACAATCCTTCTTGTTGTTGTAGTACACCCGTCGAAACCCAAATAGGCACAAGACCTTGATGATTTATTTCAGTCGACTAAACCACAAAGCCAAAATGCAACCCAAGCCAATGCCGTGTATCAGCTGTTGATCCAGAAAAGCTTCGGATTCCCCACGAATGTCTGCGATCATGCACAGCGAACTTGGTGTTCCTCTCTGAAGTCCGACGACCTACAACCCATGTATGTATCGGTGACATAGTATTCCGTGCAGGCTATGGCCAGGTTTAGGGGCTTAGGGCTCTGGGCTTTAAGGTATTGTGGCTTAGCATATAGGTTGGAATTTTTGAAGGGTTTCCTCAATCCCCAAAGCTGGGCGACACCAACCATAAGGAGCCTGAACAACCCAAGAAGCCCTATGCTTGCAACCGCCCTTGAAAACACCCTATGAAAGACACTAGAACCGTCCCATCGCAACTGAATAAGATGGATACAATCCGTCGTAATACCCATGAAACACTAAAAGCCCCAAAAACTGAAAAAGCCCTAGGAGGTCTTACTTTGCCCAGACATCAAGCTGCCTCAACCCTAAACCCTAAACTCTAAACGTACAGCCCTCACATCCCCTGCGCCCTCAGCCCCGAGGCCGTATATGGAACTTAAGCCCCTCCACATACCCTGAGCCTTAATCACGACATCGGTTTAGGGGTTTAGGGGTTTAGGGTTTAGGGGTTTAGGGTTTAGGGTTTAGGGTTTACAGTCTAGTTATACTTGCGCTAAGGTATCACAAACAGACTAACTCATACCATAGCTGTAAAACGAAAACTCTACTAAGGAAGCCTTCACCCGAAACCCTAAACCCTTAGCCCAAAACCCCAAACCCTAAACCCAACAACCCTAAACCCTTAATCCCAAACGCCCCCAAAATTCCCTAAACCACCAACACCTTAAGCTCAAAACCCCTAAATTAAACCCTTAAGCCCAAAGCCCAAAAGCCCAAAACCCCTAAACCCTAAACCCCAAACCCTAAGCCCAAAACCCTAAACCCCCAATACCCTAAGCCCAAAACCCTAAACCCAAAACCCGGAATCCAAAAGCACCTAAAAATCCCTAAACCCCCAACACCCTAAGCTCAAAACCCCTAAACCCTAAACCCTTAAGCCCAAAACCTTAAGCCCAAAAGCCCCAAAACCCCAAAACCCTAAACCCTAAACCGGTCCTAAACCCCTGAACCTTAAACTCCTAAGCCCTAAGCCCTTAAGCCCAAAAGCTCCAAAAACCCCTAAACCCCGTAACGTTCTGCAGTCGGAAGACTGCAGGACCCCTAAACCTTAAACTCCTAAGCCCTAAACCCTCAAAAGCCCAAAAATCCCTAAACCCCAATAACACCAGGCCCAGTTCTGCAGTCGGAAGACCCATGGTCAAGGTCGATCGCGTTTTGTAGAACTGCCTCTGCCGCCTCTCGGACGCTCTTTAGGGGTTTTAGGGTTTAAGGGGTTAGGGGTTAGGGCTTTAGGGTTTTAGGGTTTAGGGGTTTAGGGTTTAGGGGTTTAGGGTTTCAAGGGTTTAGGGTTTACGGTTTTAGGGTTTAGGGTTTAAGGTTTAGGGTTTTAAGGATTAGGGTTTTAAGGGTTAGGGTTTTAGGGTTTGGGGTTTTTTAAGATGTTTTAAGCTTAAGTTTTTCGTTTTTGCGAGGGGTGGGGGGGGGGTTCGGGATTGGGGTCTATAGGGAACTTCTGAGGAGTATGACAGGGCTTGCGACTTCGGGAGCTTGTGGTCCTCAGAGACTCCAATACCCCTTAATTAAGGAATATACCTTAAATTATATTAGGATCCCATTATACTTTAAGGTATATTCCTTAATTAAGGGGTATTGGAGTCTCTGGGTCTAGGGCCGCGGGATCAGGAAACTTGGAGCATGGCGGGGCTTCGGGATCCGGCTTCAGGGTGCTACAGGGGCCTGAATAATTAGGGTTAGGGTTTAGGGTTTAGGGTTTAGGGTTTAGGGTTTAGGGTTTAGGGTTTAGAAATTAGGGTTTAGGGTTTAGGGTTGGGGCCCTTTATACTATACTTATACTAGTATCGGCAATTTTTTGGGCCCCTACATTACTTGTAGGCTTTGCGATGCCTCGCGCTTGGGGTCTTGCGTTCTGTGAATAGTACCTACTTCGGGCCATTCGGTAGGAGTCAGGGCTTGTCTCGGGTTGGCGGCAGCTATGTTCTCTTGCACTGGGGTGTTCGTTTAGGGCTCAGGGGTGGTTCAGGGATTTCATTTCCCAATTCTGTCCGCTGTTGCTGGTCATGATACCGTAACTAACGTTAGCCTTTTTAATTAAGGTTCGGTTATCAATATGCGCATTCTTGTAAAGATTCTTGCAAGGATCCGCGGGGAGAAAAGCATGTGATCTGCACCTTGCTGCACGAAGCCTAAAGTCTAGGCAGTGCATGAAATGTAATGGCCTAAATGATTACTAACACTATTATGGAGGTTCCTTGTTATAACTATTGTAGAATGGGCCCCAAAACCTTATTCTAACTACGAAGGCCCCTGTATTAGGACCTACTGTTGGGAGCGCAGGGCCACGGTACGCGGCTTAAGGCTCATCGGCACTTAGGGTCGCGAGGTGCTCGAAGGCGACACGAGCTACCGCGGCTGCGGACAGCTGAATTAGACATCTGTGCCCTCAAACTCTGCACCAAAAGCCTCCTTAAGCCCACAAAAAGCTTTCTACTGCCCAAGATCCGAAATTTCCTCACTGCCTAAGGCCCTCCAGCCCAACAAAGAAAGCACAACTTCCTAACAACCCTGACGGTCCCGAAACCCTAAAGCCTAAAGGCCTGCCCCCGAAAAAATACTAGACCCCCATAATCTTGGACTGTCCTTTTTAGGAAATCGGCAGGGCCCAGTACCCCCTAGTCTTTTGAACAGCTTCGCTTGAAGAAGATTCTTGAACCGATCTAGACCTGCAAAACAGCGACCCTGCTAAAGCCCACAAAAACCCTTAAATCCGGGAAACCCTAGACACAAACCACCTTAAAAGCTTAATTCCATTAAATTCTTTAAAAGAACACCAAAAACCTTAAGGACCCCCAAACCACCACATAACTTGCTTTAAACCCTTTTGCAACCCTTGTAGACACACCTTCACGAAACCTTCTAGAGATCCTCTACATCTAGGAACCCTCTAAATGACCCTAAACGTTGGAAGCCTTCTATGGGAGTTTCCGATCATAAGGGGTACCTTATTTTGGAGTCCCTATAATAAGGATCCTACTATTTCGGGTACTACATTAGCGTCCCCTATTTTCGGAAACCTCCATACAAATGAACCACCTGAAGATGTCCTAGATTTATGATCCCCTTAAAACGTTCCTGAGACCCTACCATTTAGGGTACTACATTAGCGTCCCCTATTTTCGGAAACCTCCATACAAATGAACCTCTAGACCCAGGAGTAACCTAGGAATGAAAAGGGTGCCCTTTTTGGTTTTAAGGGGATTATAAGGGAGCCCCAACCCTAAAAAAGGAAATAAGGGCCTACTCCGGGTCCTAGACCTCAAGAAAAGCCCTACGTCCGGGATCCCCCGACGGATCCGGCCGAGCGGGTCGTCCGGTCTCAGGATCCACCTGACTCTGCCCTGAACCGACCCTGAAGGGTTTAGGGGATTTTGGGGCTCAGGATGTAGGGTTTAGGGGTTTTTTGGGGCTCAGGATGAAGGGTTTAGGGGGGTTTTTGGGGCTTAGGATGTAGCGCTTTGTGGGGGCTTGGGGTTTAGGATGTAGGGTTTAGGTGGGGTTTGGGGTTTAGGATGTAGGGCTGTAGGTGTATAGGATGTAGGGCTTAGGGGTTTGGGGTTTAGGTATATAGGGCTTTCGGGCTTTGGGGGTATGTAGAATTGAAATCAAGCCGGGGACCATGAAATGCTCATGGCCCGAGACAGGAACCCGGAACTTGGTAGGATGATTTCAGGCAGCCCTGATCCCTCGCAGGTGCTAGGGTTTAGGCTTCAGGGTTTAGGGTTCGAACTGTTGAACCTCTTTGTTCGTTGCTTAGATACTCGCTGTCCGAAGTGCCGTGATGTGCGGCTCTGTGCAGCTGAGGGCTTAATGGGCGGACCAAACGTCAGCAAGGGCTGGCGAGCTTTCTGTGTCGTCTGGTTGTTAAATATCCTGTAGTTAACAGCATACCCCACAACCGGTGCGTAGAGGTGGGGGTTTCCGGCTAAGGCTAGTGCCAGCACTACATGGCACTCTATCATGGCACCACCATGCAGTAGAAGCAGAAGCAAGAGCAGCATCAGTTGCTGCCGCGTAACACTGTTGACACAAAACTTAGCCTGTAGCCGCAAGCATGAGCGGAAGCGCAATCCAGACGGAGAAAGTACCGGTACGAACAGCGGTGGAACAGTATGCTGCCCACTGTCTTTCTTGTGCAAGCAGGACAACGCTTCCAGACTGATATCGGGACGTCTTAAATAAATCGCAAAACAAGCCCCTAAACAACTATACCCTTATGCACGTGCCCCAGAACCCTGTTCGAATCAGTTTTGCCACTATATGAATTAGGTACGAGGCTCGCAAGAAGTTGACTACAGATGCTCTGAGTGACGAGTCTCTGGGTACTTGGCAAAGTCTTCCTCGCCCAAGGCATGATACTCATGTGACAAGGCTGTCGGAAAGACGCCCCTTCTTGCCAATGCGCTGCTGCTCACCTTCTTGCTTCGGCTTCTCCCCAAAAGGGACCGGACCGTGACAGCTCTAGCTGCTCTACCGAAGAATGAACCTCGCGGCGACGCTGTCAAGCGACGGAGCCCACCCTCGCGAGCTGAGCAGGGTGAACTCTCGATTCGTCGCATGAACCTCCTCGACAACCGCGATGTCCAGCTCATGCTCGGCTGCGAGACACTCCAGCACACTTTACGGGACAGATGAATGATCGCCAGGACAAGGGAGCCCAAAGGGATCAGAATCAACAAGGTTAGATCCAGTAGTTCGTGCCACCTCCTCAATGCTGCACCCGTACACCCGCACACGCAAGCAAGGGAACAGGCTAGACGGGTTGGGTCAGGATACGCTGTGAATATAGCCTGGCCAGGTCTTAACTACGTTCATGGTTTTTTTAACAAGCTTAATAGCAATCTATCGATCGACCGATCAATGTATCTATCTGTCTATAGCTCTCTCTCTCTATCTACCTGCCGATCTGTCTATCTATCTATCTATCTATCTGTCTGTCTGTCTGTCTGTCCGCCTGGCTATCTGAGTGGCTGTCTATCGCTCTCTCCATCCACCGACCAATGTGTCTATCTAGCTAACTTTTATCGATAAGCCCTAAACCCTAAACCCTTCTACCTACCTATGTGTCTATCTAGCTAACTTTTATCGATAAGCCCAAAACCCTAAACCCCAAGCCCTGAAGAATCACCCGCTGGGGCGCAGACAGGCACTGGCCAAGTGTCATCCTTCGTCCCTTCCGAGAGTTTGGGGCTGGTTCCAAGCAGGGGGCCTCAATAACACGGTTTAAGGTTTAGGGTTTAGGGGTTTAGGGTTTAGGGCCTAGGGTTTAGGATTAGAGTATGGCTCCTTTCAGGACTCCTTTAAAGCCCTGCATAAGGGCTACTGACGGCCTAGGGAGCCATTCGGAAAGTCTAGGAAACCAGCAGCCCGATGTCCAGAATCCGTTGCTTAAACTTCGACGCTCGAAGTGTCCATTCTGGGCTAAAGGAAACTGCAGGTGGGGAGTTTAGGGTATATAGGGCTTCTATAAGGCTTCTATAAGGTATATAGATTTTGTATAAGGCTCCTACAACGTGTCTTATCTGGGCCCCATAACGACCACCATGAGCACAGGCCCGCTCAAGGGAGAGAGCAACCTATGACATTGGGTTCTAAGCAGCTCGAACCGCCGTCCTCCCAGAGAGCCCGATACCCCTTAATTAAGGAATATACCTGAAACTATAGGGGCCATACTATTATGGTTTAAGGTAAAGGCCTTTATTAAGCCGTCCTTGGCCAAGGTGTACCTGAACCTACCAAAACTTACTTTTTTGTAGGCCCCTATAGATTCCATATTAGGGCTTATAGTAAGGGACCTACAAAAAACCTAGGGTTTGGTAGGTTAAACCCTAAACCCTAAACCCTAAACCTGCTAAGGTAGCCGGCAACCCGAAGGCACGCTATCAAAGAATATCTGCCGCCGCCTGGCCCTTGCCCTTCTTCCGTTCCATTTGCTCCTTTTTGGGGTTTAGGGTTTAGGGTTTAGGGTTGAGGGTTTAGGGTTGCAAGACTTTCATAGCACAGTGCGTAAGTGAATAGTGCGCAGGGAGTTCGGAACGCCCGCTAAACCCCAAACACACGCTTCCAAGCACCTCTCCACAACCGCACTTACCTGACACCCCTTGCCAGAAGGAGAAGCTACCATCGAAGCCCCAAGCTCTAAAAGGTTCGCCCCTCAGACTCATTGAACCCCATGCACCCTAAACCTGTACTGAAACAGAGCAACCCCAAAAAAGAACCAACAACAAGGAACCGTTTAACATGGAAAAAACACACCCACACACAAATAAAGAAACCAGCAAAGGAATCCGCAAAAGGAGCCCCCAAAAAGAACCGACACAAAGCAACTCCCTAACAAGAACCAACAAAAGGGAACCCGTCAACGGAATCCTCAGCTGTCCGAGTCCCTAAAGGATCGGCCTTGATCCAGTGAACTGGCGCTTCGAGCTCGCGAGAGCGCGCTCATCTGCGCCTTGCGGTCTGGCGGCTATACCTATAGTCTCCAATGTAGTTCCTCGTCATGGTTTAACTCTTTGTATATTAATGATCCTAAAAAGTAACCCCAGAAAGAAACTACAACGGAGACTATAGGTAGGGGTTCTTTGAAGGGATGCTTCAGGGGGTCCTGTAAGGGTTCCTGTGCGTGTCCGCATTTTTGAGGGTTTCTACGTTCTCGAATACAGGGGCTACGGCCAGGGTTTACAGGGGTTTGGGGTTCAGGGTTTGCGGCGGCTATCAGGGGCTATTTTGTTATGGCATTCAAGATATTATAGTGACCACAAGGGCAAAAAGTCATTTCTGCTGTGTTTGCTCGCGGTAATATATAGGCCTTAATAATTAGAATAGGCTTTGGGGGCCTTTATACTACACTCATAATAAGGAGCCCCCAAAATAGTATTGAACTTGGTATTTATTTGGGCCCCTATGTTATGACTGGATAAGCGGGCACAAGGGGTTCTAGAAGCATGGCACGCAAGGGTTCAGGGCTTAGTGTCCAGGGAATCAGCTTTGCTTCAAAGCAGGAAGTTTGGGCCAGCTCCTAACCCTAAACCCCTATAAACCCTAAAACCCTAAAACCCTAAACCCTAAACCCTAAACATAAATCCTAAACCCTAAACCCTAAACCCTAAAACCCTAAACCCTAAACCCCCCGGGACCAAGACGGAAGGTCTGTTGTTCAGGGTTGTAGGCTTTGGGGACGGTTTGGGTTGCCCGGTTTGAGAGCTGCCGGGCTTTAGGGATCAGGGTGTATAGGGCTTGGTATTTAGGGTTTAAGGGTTTAGGGTTTAGGGCTTAAGGGTTTAAGGGTTTAGGGTTTAGGGGTTAGGGTTTAAGGGTTTAGGGTTGAGAATGTTGATGCCAAGGTTGGCGCGAGGTGAACCCACAACCGTACGCCTCAGAACGCAACGACGAACTCTAAAACTCTCGACAAATTCATAACCCGCACCGCTATGTAAACTCTACAACCCGTAAACCCTAAACCTCGATCAACCCCCAGCTCATGTTCGAAGACAAGAACCCGGTTATATAGTAACCCTGCAAAGCAGGAAGCCTTTAAGGTTAAACCCCTAACCCTAAACCCTAAACCCTAAACCCTAAACCCTAAACCCGAAAGTACCCACTGGGCTTTCGGCACTCTTCGGGCGCTTCAGGCTCGTGTTGAGCCCGGTGTTCACCTCGACCTCGGAATGGTTTTGAAGGTCTCAGAAGTGGGTTTAGGGTTTATAGGGTTTAGGGTTTAGGGTTTAGGGTTTAGGGTTTGGGGTTTAGGGTTTCAGAAGGGGGACGACAAAGGGTGCTTTCAGGGCGCAACAGGATGGTATTTTATACGGGCTTTGTACTTGAGGAAAGGACCACCTTGAGTCGGGCTATCTTAGGTACCAGCCTACTGATACAAGTGCTGCCTAATCGAAGACCCACAGATTCCCTAAACCCTAAACCCTAAACCCTCACAAGAGGAAGTCGTTGTTATGGCACCGACTTCAGAAGATCCAGCACCAGAGGCTGCCACTTTGCTTCTCGTGGGGATTTGCGGCTTTGACTTGGTGGCGGGCTTTAGACTTTAATTTTCGGGCTTCAGGTTTAGGGTTTACCGTTTTAGGGTTTAGGGTTTAGGGGTTTAGGGTTTAGGGTTCAGAATGTAGGCTTTGTGGGCTTCGCAAGTTCGGGTATCAGAGGCGAAGACTTCAGGGCTTATAGAGTTCGGTTGCAGCTTGGGGTTCAGGGTTTGGGCATTCTGAGCGGTCTTGAAGCTTTGCACCGTGCGTTGCGGACTATTTTAGGGGTCAGAAAAATATGACCTAGCATAACCTTTTGACCTATTTTGTTATTATACTGTCCCCTAGAAACGTACTCCAGTTCCTGCCAGGCCCCTAAATTAGGAAGGGCTTCAGCAGGATTGCAAAAACTTAGTGGCATAGTCCGACTTCACAAGGGTCCGGCACTAACTTCGGCGGAAGAGTGTTACGAGTTCTGTAGCTTCCATTAACTTCCTTGCTCGAAACAAAGGTGATGGTGGTTTCAAGTCAACCACAGCTGGTTTCAAACCATCTGTACATGTAAACAACAAAAGCCGGCGAAATCCTCCCTCTTTCAAGGCAAGCCATACTTCGTGCCCGTGCAACGGCCATGCCTAAATATTGTCTGTCTTAATATATATATATATATATATTATATTATATTCTATAATACTTATAAATCCCTGCAACAGGCTTGCAAGCCTCAAGAACCCGAAGCCGGCAGCGAACCCATCAAGACTTGCTACGTAGGCCCTCACCATAAACTGCCAATGCACAACAGCAGAAGGGTGCTCTGTGAATGAGAATTGGACGCTGCCTTCGGAGGGCCCGAAAAGGAACCACAATTTAGGTTGACACCCAACTTCATCAAAGCAGCACGCCAGGCACAAGCACAAAGACTCAACCCCAGAGCCCCGCAAATCTAAACCCGAAAGCTCTTCGAGCTACGTAAGTCCATCCTACCGAACTTGAAGCAACGCACCACCGAAACTCTACTCTAAACCCTAAACCCTAAACCCCTAAACCCTAAACCCTAAATTCATGAGGCACCAGCGAACGGCTTCCTTGGAGCGGTTCGCTTGGCGAAGAGCTCCTCGAAGCCGTTGGATTCGGGTTTCAAGCTCATATGGACTCATGGAGTTTAGGGTTAGGTGTGTGCGGCTTAGGGGTGTCGGGCTTTGGATGTAGGGCTTGGGCTCTTGGGGTACCCTAAGGGTCCGTGTACCTTGAGGGGTTACTTTGAGGGTTCCCTTTCGGGTTCCTTGCAGGGTCCCTGAGCTGAACACAGGACCTGGATACTCAAGATAGTGACAGAGTTTAGGTTTGCAGGGTTTGGAAGAAGGCTGAAGTTAGAGTGTAGCGCGTCTACACTTGGCTTGGTTTTCGGTTATTTTGCAGCTCCCGCGTCGTAAATGGGTTCAGGATAGTTACGGAGCTGGTGTCGAACGGTGAACCTGAATCCCAAGCCGCCATCCCAAACGTCATTCGAGGGGTTTTTTTGCACGACTATGAGATGGAACTCAAAGAAGAAACATAATCCCTCCCTTCGCCACGTCCTGGTTTACCCTAAGCCCTAAACCGGACTCTCAATCTTGTATGTTCTTGTCTTCTGCACCACGAACCCAGACCCGTCATCATAGCGGTTGAGTTAGGCTTGGGGATTAGAGTCTATTGCGCGTAAGGTCCGTCACCGAGACTTCCAAGGCATTCAGCCTAACAGGTACCAGGCTACGAGCCCTTAACCCTATAAGCTACTTGCTGGATCAGAAACCTTACGGAGGTATGCAGGGAGATAAACGGCAACACAATCGAGGCGTTGATGTACATTGCACACATGCCTTACACATGCATGCATGCATCTAGATGTGTAAACACGTATTCACACACACATATATATATATATATATGTGTACGCATGTGTGCATCGGCATATGTATGGCATGTATACAACTCTATATACCTATGCAGATATCGTTGCATCTGTGTATGTATGTATGTATGTATGTATGCATGTATGTATGTATGTGTGTCTGTATGTATGCATGTATGTATACATATGTTTGTATATATATATATATATACATGTATATGTCTAAATGTATATGTGTATACATACTGTTGCTTACATATACAGACATTTATAATCATACAACAAACATCTACATGAAAACGCCCAGAAGTATGATCTGCGCAGCTGCAGCCACTCAACCACTGAGCACGGGGCCACGGGATCGTTGCGCAGCATGCTCCTTCCGAGGTTCCGAGGGTTCAGGGGCCAGGGCTTCGGATTCGGACAAGTTTTTCAGTTGAAGGCTCTGAGGGTTCTTCCATGCCCGTTGGGGAAGTGTCCTACCTGGAGCTCGTATTGTTGGCAGTTTGCTTTAAGTTGGTTACCCTAAACCCTAAACCCTAAACCCTCAACTTACAAACCAGACGTCGAGTAAGTCCCAAACCTCAAAGCCAAACCCTCTGAAGCCTCAACGCAAACAGAAGACGGCTCCAAACACCTTGCTGTACCATGGCCCTTTTTTAGGGTTTAGGGTTTAGGGTTTAGGGTTTAGGAATTAAGCTTTAGGGTACCGGTGCGCCCCAACATAGGGGCATTCATACTTAGTAAGTTCTTTGGCTTTGGGATGTGGTGGGAGAAGTCATACAGAACTCTATATTACGCCCGAACCAGAAACTTGAAATCCCTGATCCCGGATCGCATCATCTCAGGCCCTACACCCTAAATATGCTCCAAATCCTGCATCTGAAGTGGGGTGTAGGGTTTAGGGTTTAGGAGCCACAATCACAGTCAAAGTTTCCGCCAACGTTACATATCTATATGTATAGATCTATCCGTTCGTTTAACTATCATTGTCAAACCAAGCCCGAAATCCTGAAACAATTTGGACGCTACATCCTTCAACATCAATCCAAGCCCAACTTCCCAACAACTAAAACCTGAACTCCCTACATCAATGAAACTAAAAACCTAAACCCTGAACACTCGAAACTAAACCTCAACGCCAAGCTTTCAGCACAAAAGCCTAAACGGAATGCCCCCAGGACAAAACAACATTGACTGCACTAAAACCCGGTTCCAAACAACAGAACGCACCCTTAATCCCTTTTTAAACACGTGTAACATTACAAAGCCGAGAGCGTTTCGTCCATTCAAAACACACTTGGAATCCCTAAACCCTAAACCCTAAACTCCCTGACCGACCCAGAAAGCTCACCGAAAGGCTCCTTGCATTGTGGGATTCTTCGTAGATGTTGCGAGACTGCGTCAATCCGAGGGCTTTTAGGGTTTAGGGTTTAGGGTTTAGGGGCTTTTTTGGGGCTTTGGGCTTTTGAGGGTTTCCGTGCTCAGAGTCTTCCTCTTTCGGGGGCTTTTGGGCTTCAGCATGTCGGGCTGTAGGGGTTTGGGGCTTAGGATGTAGGGCTTTAGGGTTTTCGGGATTTTGGGTGTCAGGGTAAAGGGTCTTAGGGGTCAGGTCTATTTTGACGCGGAAGCTCAAAGAACGAAGCCCTACACCCGAAATTCTAAAACTCTAAGCCTGCAACGCGAAATGTGAAAGACCCTGCAGTCCTAGAAAGGATCGTCCACTACCTTAAACCCTAAACCAGTATCATTGCTGACAGAACGCAACTACAGTTACCTGGCTCGGGAAAGCCCCTAAGCCGTAAACCCTAAACCCCACATCCTAAATCCTAAAAACCCTAAACCCTAAACCCCTGAACCCTAAAAACCCTACCCCCTAAACCCTAAACCCTTAACCTACTTGTCACCAATTGTCGTCGCACCTTTAAGTTGGCCTTCTTCCCTAGTCACCGTGCTTCGGGAGCACCCTTAGGGTTTTAGGGTTCAGGG